AATTTCATTCTTTTCTGAATTTCCAGTAACGAAGCCAGCATTAATTTCTAAATTTGTCAATTTTCATCACTTTGGCCTGGTTATCGAAATACAGTAATGTCTCGGTGAGTGCAACGTACTCGGGTCTACTTCGGAGCATTCATGGCAAGGCGGAATGGTTTTCAGCCTCACATCAATTTTTTTTCCCCGATGCCGAGCCTCTGTCTAGCTTCTGTTTACTGTGTTTTGATTGGTTCATCAGGGGGAATCCCCCAGTGGTGGGAATAATGCCGTTACTCGCGTCGCATTCATCGAGGAATCACTGTACATTTACGTTCGTCGTCCATAGTTCTAGTGTTAATCACCTTAAAATAATCCAATTTCATTCAGAAGTAGCCCAAGGAATTGGTAACGCGAGGATTAGCTTCCGCTCGATTCGATACCAGTCCCAGAATTTTCCATCGAACCGACCGATCGTTACGACAGCATTAAATCGTGACGAACGCCGCGCACTAAATTGCAATTTTTCGTCGACCTGGTTTTCCGCTTCCATAACGCGGACCGGCTCGAATTACAAAGAGCATTCGAATCTTTATTTGCTTGCGTACCAAATAAGCATCGGCGGAGAAATAGAACATGAAGCGTGACATGCCGCCGTCGAGTGTCCATAAGCGTCGATTTCGAGCGCGCTCGAACCCGATGGTAAGATCGGGAAAGAAAGTTGCCCGTACGATCGACGCCGTACGATGAAGTGGGTCGTTGTTTCTGCCGCGTTTATCATCGATCATTTCACCTTCTTCGTCAGGAGGTCGTCAGGATCGTGGAAAAAAGGAGGGGAAGGGAAGTGGGTTGCATCGCCGTGCAAATTGCCCGAACACGAAATATGCCGCACACGCATGAAAGTAACGCCGTTTAAATCTGCGACATTAACGTGTGCACGCATGCATGCATGCTCGCCTCGATAACTTTCTTCGCAGAAGGTGGAACACGAGATCTCTTTTATTCTGCGAGCAGAAAAAGAAACAGTTTGAAAATCTGGTAACCTTACCGACCGATTAACCAAAACTTCGGATAAAAAAAAAAGCATTCGACGTCGATTGGTGTTTCTGTCCTGAGGTTGTTCCGCCGATATATTCTTACGTTTCTTCTCTGCGTTGCGAAACTATATACTTACCACCCAGAACGCGATTACAGATCGGTGCCACGATTCCAATCGGTAATTATTAGCGATACGTAAGTGCCTTGGATCGGGGATTATTCTGTCAATTATATTAGGCTCCAAATTGTCCTTAATTACTGTCGTTGCTACACGAGAAATACGGATCGGGAGAGGGGTTTTAATTAAATTTTCCGCCGGTGAAACGCGTCGTACCAGTCTCCGTTTGCCGGTTTAATGTGGCCGTACATACCTACTCCGAGAGTGGACCATTCGATTGCTGAGGTCCCGACGTTTTAATTACAAGTGTAACGCAGGTTAATCGTTCGCGAAACCGAGGCGCAAGCGCTCGTGTCTCTCGTTTGGCTAGTTTGGTTTTATCGTGTCCACGTGACTCTACATATTTTATGGATATACTAACGACGGAGTGAAAAATTTGTTACATAATCAGTGGCTTTGAGCGCGGGTTCGTGCGTGGACAATAAAACAGGTGGAAACATTTTTCGTGAACAAACAACGTTGGAACGTGGTCTAGAATTCGCGTTGAATTAATTCAAATCAATAGAGAAACGATTACTGCGACTCATTACGACTGCGAATCAGTGAAATACTGTCCAATAAAAAACATTAATCCCTTCATGTAATTGTCCGTCTCGTTTCCAATCCGCTAGAATCCATAACGAGGGAAATAAAATTCTTGTTGATCACCGTTTCCGTGAATTCCACTATAAAGAGGACAAATTAAGAAATATCCATTCGTTTAATTATGATACATTAAAATAATACACGAATATAGTCTGAGAGATCGCTTCCATTTCTATTTTATCACTTAACCCGACAACTTTCTAGTTAATCCCGATGCGGTTTGTCGGAAACTTCATAATAGCGATCGTTACGCCGCGGCTCGTGACGAGCGCGTCGTTAGCATTACATCAACGATAATACGCGATAACGCTGATACCGGCTGTCTACGGGACTGGAAAGGATCTTCTTCCATCGATGCATCTTGATGCATAACTCGCCTCGGCTCGCACACACCAGGAAATTACGACAGCACTTTAACACATCCTTGTGTGCGTGTGTGTTCTGTTATGTCAGCGGCGCCGGGATATCTGGCCTTAGTTTCGTATTGTTAAGCACACGGAAGCAACCACGTGACTTCCTATCCCGGCTTTTCTCAGCGTTCAAAGACCGTGCGAGAGCTGCAGGTGAATCTTCTGTTATTTTGATCGGAGAAAGATTAACTCCGAGACGCTTAACCCGTTTGCACTCCGATCGTTTGCTGAATGAGAACTTCGTGTCATTTGAAATATTACCGTGAGAAGAGCATCAACCGCTTTTAATAGACAGGTGTGTGGTCTTTTATGGAATTGTAATCTGTGATTGAGATATCTTAACACATTCGTAACCAGCAACGTAATCCTACGTGATTTGAAAACCTTCAGCTGAGTACAGGTATCGTAGTTCTACGTCATTTCAAAGTTTTCTGCCGAGGGCTGGTCACGTAATTCTACGTTATTTCGAAATCTGTAGCGTTCATCACCTGTTTCTCTTTGGCACGCTCATTATCTTGACTTTAAATTCTTCAACTAAGAGTCTCGTCTACAAACCACCCGCTGCGAATCTGTTAACAGAAGATTCCATCGGTGCTATATTCGCCTAAATTTTTATCAAAGTATTATACATTAAAGTTTTCTTTCAGAAGTTTCATTAGACACGAAGTATTACTTCGTTCTTCATAGTACTTCTATTTATAAATTAACCCCTTCCATGCGATCTACACCGCCAGGAAATACGATCTATCGATATCTCGCGGCAGAAATATACACTGCACTCTTTCGAATGCGACCGTACCGCGTTTTATACGTCAGAAGAAGTAAATTGCAGACTTTTTGATCCCATTTCTTCCACGCTGACAAAAACGGTACAGTTACAACGCAACAGCTACAGATTATGTACCCTCCCCAACGAGACCGCGCTAATCTCGGCTTCTCGAGAGATTCTTTCTCGGTACTCGTTGTGTCAGAACATTGACCGTAACGTCGGTGTTCCCGTTTTTTCCCCCCCTCCTCTAATGAAGCGCGTTAAGAAACCACGGAAAATTGTCGCTAAGTAAATGACTCCCGTAAATGTACCTGTTGCAAGGAAGGTTTAAGAAACGCGTTGCGAAACAAGCCGTTACGTTTTGCTTTTACCGGCAAACATTGTACAACCTGCCAGCCAAGCCTCTTGCGTCAAAGGTGGAGGCTGATGAGATACTGCAGCCTGTCTGACAATGAACGACTCGGTGGATCGCGACTACTCCAAACTGCAAGATTCTCTATTTCGAAACAAACGTTTCTAAGTCGCACAATGATTTGAGAGAAGTATCGAAACACAATAAGATTCCTGGACTATACAAGTCTAACAATAAGTAAAAATTTCTAGATTGGTGTCCAGTGGTACCACCCATACACCCAAACGAACTGCTTATTACATACTCCGCTCAGACTGAATAAGTTTCGCTCCAAGTGGACCACGACAAGTCGACTCGCTTTTTAACCATCGTCCCGGCAAGAAGAAGAAAAAAAACCGTAATAACAGATTTCTCTTCTGGTCCAGACTCTCGAAACTTCTGGTCTCGCCCGTGGCCACGAACCACGTCTCGCAATGGAGCTCTCAAGAGACACGGAGACCAGAAGCGAATCCATGATTGCTCCGTGCCCAGTCCCAAGGAAACCATGCAAGTGCTTGTATGCAGTCTCCAGTTGGTTCCCTTGTAATTTCGCGAAATAGACCGCATGAGGAGACCACACACGCACATGTACACGCGATCCAAAGGGCATTCTCGATCCCAAAAAAAATCCTCGTGACAGAGAAGAGGAAGGGATGCATGCAGCGAAGAAAAAGACTTCAAGAACGGATGAGAAGGAGGATCGGTTCGCTGGGAAGGGTAGAACGAGCACGCTCTCCTTGCACGTCGCACGTAATATCGCTTTATCGGATCTACCGTTATGTCGATACGTTCTGCATCGACGGTGTATGTGTGTACGATTCGCCGGCACACGTCTACGGCCGTGCACGATCCGGCATGGCAACACCAGAAATCGTGTGCAATCAGGACCGCATGGGAGGACGGGCTCTAGACGTCATCGATCGACGACGGCTGCCAGTCAACGTCGATCCACAACTGGTCACCCACTGTAGGACAAGTGAGAGAGAGAGAGAGAGAGAGAGGGATAAGTGATCTAACTGTAAATCTAACGCTTTTCGCGTGCTGCTCCAAGTCGAGTCAAGTGTAACAGACGAGCACCACGACTGGCCAGACGTGTCCAGCCGATTCCATCGGCCATTCCATTCGACCCTGTTTGATACGCTGGTCTGGCGGTCGCGATGTCAGAGTCTGATTTGCATAACAAATAGACGAGTCGCCTAGGAGCTCTCGTACCCAAGTTTCGCGTGGATGCTAGGCATCGTAATTACAGATCCAGGAATTTTCTTTATTCTGTCATTACCTTTTTTTTTGGTTGTTCATGGAGTTCCATTATTGTGCGAGACGTGGGTACGAGGACTGATGCAGAAACGATACGCAGCGGGAACACGTTCGACGAGGCAGTATTCGGTGAAATCTAGACCAACGATTCCGCAAATTTTTAGACACCGTGCCCTTATGACCTTTGAGAATGCCTTTCACCACCCTCCCTCGGCAATGTCTATTGCGGTTCTTGTGGTTTTTCAAACGGAAAACGGGAAATTCTGGATGCCTGTCCTAAGGTTATGCCGTTTCGCTGGTTATAAACGAGACATTGGTATAATTTTAAATCTTCGTGACATTTCGTTCTCAGACAGATTCCTGTAGCAACAAATCTGTCTACTGCACGTTCGGAATTATTACCTGGAAAAGAAGTTTCTGTGTGTATGGCTCGTAGAAACCATGAAATACTTATTTAAAGTAACTTGCTTGTACAATCGTAAGTAAATGAAAAGATCAAAAGTAGACAGAAATTCTGACATTTTCTATCGAATTAGAAAATTCCACGCTGATCGAAGCTTTCCCATTGACGCGGTTTTACTGAATGAAAATGGGCCAGACGACCCACATAAATTCCTGGAAATGCGTACGCAAGTACGAGAGATAGTATCTAACCAGCCACAGCTAGAAAGTTATTTTTCCATGGAACTTTTGAGGACACCACGAAGCAATTTCAAACGACTTTCGACTTCTCAGTATTTTCATCTGTCCCCCTTCATTGATTCTACTTCAAATTACAAACTTAATTAAACTCTCCGTCGTGTTTCTCGTTCTACGAAAGAAAATTCACCCTTTCGCGAACCTTCACATTTACCACTAACGCAAAGCCTGGCACGAATATTTGAATACAATCGAGGTTCACGCAATTACGTCTAAAAAAATGGAAGCAACTAACGAAGTCGATAACGATGCCTCATTATTTCCATACACTGTGGTTCCGGATCTCCAGCTTCGAACGAAGATAAAAACAATTAAGAAGAAATGAAAAATTTACTGAAAGCGTCCTGAATACCAATACAAAATTAGGTTAAACGAGGCGGTCACGAAATTGGAAGCGACATTATCTAACAATGAGCATTACATCATAACCCGCCTTCGTGGTTTGTTTACGTTATGCCAAACTCGGGACGAACGAACGAGGGAAACGACGAAACATTCCCAGGCGACTTAACAAGAAAAGTTCACGGGACGGCCTCCAGGTTCTTTGAACTCCCTCCGAATCTATTTTTATGCCCCCTACCCTGGCGGAATACGTCCGCGGTTCTACGCGGATAACCTTCCGCGAACATCGTCCCGGGAGCGGCAGATAAACATCGGTTAATTTAATGTTTTCCATTCGCTTCCCTGTGCGCACGGCTGTTTAGCATTCCGAGGCGGCGATGAATCGCCCGTTAATTGGCACGCAACAGGAATTCCTCGAAGCCTGGACGAGGAAGAATGAATAGTTTCAGGAGGTGCCGATTATACGAACCTGGGAGGATGGTTTCTGAAGAAACGTCGCGATGCCAGCGCGCACCCTGTTTTTGACACCGCGCACAGTCCCCTTGGCACTGCGTATGGCCTCCTTATCGAGGATCTTGTAACCGGCGAAACATTCGTCGGTATCCTTGTCACCTAGCACCAATCCCCTGCTGGTGTCCTTATTATTCCCCCCTTTCAGTTCGTTCATATGAAACTTGTAGAACCTGTCGTACTCGTAGACGTACTTCTTGCCGGTGATCGGATTCACGCTGGTGTCGACATCACCGGCGATAGACTCCTGCTCTAGCCTCTCCTGTTCCTGTTTCCTCTCCTCGTAGGTGCATTCCTTCACCACCGGGGAGGAGACTTTGCTATGGTGGTCCAAGTCTGGACTCCTGATCCTCGGTGTGGACGAAGCTTTCGACAAGGTCGAGGCGGCGGACGGTGACGGGGAGACGCTGGGCGAGCCTCTGGAGGAGGAAGAGTTCGAGTCGACTTCCGGTGTCGTGGCAGCTGGCGCGGGGTCTTTATTAATCGGTTCCTCGTGCTCGTTCTCGTTCGACGGGTCTAGTCGTTTTAAATTCAGAACGGTGTCGTTCCGGTGATCGACACCGTTCTCCAGACGATTGATCTCTTGGTAGTCCAGACTCTGATCAGCCTCGATGCTCCCGTTCACGTTTCGTTCTACTATCATCCCGTCGCCTAGGTCGCCCGGATTCAAAGAGTCGCAGCTGATGTTGCTCTCGTTATCGTCGCTGTCCACTTCCGCGCCGCTGCTGGTCAAACTCCCCGTACGTTTATGCTGATCGCTGGCTAGGAGAACCGTGCTGGCGTTCTTCTTCTTGGGCAGCGGCGGCGGCGTGCCATCCAGATCACTGCAGGTACCACTGTCCAAGGTGTCGCTGGGCGAACATTGTCCGCTGGACATCACCATACCGGTTAACGGATTCTGGTACGAATTATAATAGAAGCAGGTGTTCGACCGTGTGTCGGCAGAGGTATTTAGGGTATCCGGGGTGTTGCGGTGGACCATGTCTTTCTCCGTGCTGTTGTTACGATCGTGTTTATCGTGATTGTTGTTGTTGTTGTTGTTGTTATTCGTGGTGGTGTTGTTGTTGCGTTCGAAGGGGTTGCAACCGACACTGATCCTCACACAGCCTTCACCGGCACCGGCACTTCCACAACGCTGCTCGTTCACCAGATTCGTCGCACTCACGACCACACCACCGTCACGCTTGCTCGAACGTTCGCACGCGATCCCGTTCTCCTGCTCGACTTCGTGGCCGACCTTCTCGTCCAGAGTCAATCGTACGGTCGATATCACCCTGCCGTTCTTGTCACCATCCGGATTGATCTTGATCTTCACCACATGCGCCGCTTGATGCTGTTGCTGCTGTTGCTGCTGCTGGCTAGTCTGTTGCTGGCTCTGCGAAAGGCTCTGCGCCACGGACTTCACGCTGGTCTGCTTACCGTAGCCGTTCGCCGATTGCACTTCCGGGATTCTTCTCCTACAGGCTGCCACGGAATCAACGCCAGGAGCGGCCAGTCCGACGAATACCGTTGCTCCGGCCCCTGTGCTCGGTGTAGCCGTGGTGGGATTGGAAACAGTCCGGATTGACACAGTCTGTCGGGCAACCTGGCTCCCATCCCGGGACTGAGCCTTCGCCGGCAGTGTCGGTGGAACGGTCATCGTGGCGATCTCGTCCATATACACATTCGAAACCACTGTCACTTCTTCATGGAACCACCACCTGACCCACCAAGTTCGAACTCTCTTTTCGGTTGCTCTCTTTCCGAACCTTTCCCCCCACTATCACACTCTCTCGCTTACCTCTCTCTCCCCCTGTTCTCCTTTCGAGAAACCTATGGACGGTGTGGAATTTATGAATGGAATGTTTTCACGACGGAGAACCAGTATAAAGATACGATTGTGCGATGTGTTCTCAAGACGCAACAATGTGACAGATTTAAAGCACGATCTTGTGGTTTTAGAGTGATATCGATAGATTCTCTGGACTACAGATCAAGCTCAATCAATTAACCATCGTGAATCACAATTTAATTCGTCATAGAAGATTATTCGCACAGGGATTTGATATTCAGTGAGAACATATTAAATGCACTCGCGACACTACTCGGTTAAATTATACCAGAGAAGTTTCAGTCCTGGTGGATTCCTCTTTCTCCGCTCACTTACTTCGACACACCAACAACAGGATGGATATCGACGATGAAGTTTAATCAGAGACCGATCGATAGACCAAGCGGCGATACATCGCACCGAGGATCGTTATCGCGGGAGTGGTTGCAATGCTCGAGGATCAATCGTTCGCGATTACGGCACTCGTGGGACGTCGTTTAAAGATGTTCGTCCGTTCGCGCGGAATACAAAACACCTGCTAACATCCGCGGACGCGGTGCGTGCAAGTCACAGAGAATCTGGTACCCGGCTGGCCAGACGGTCGTCGCGAGAAGAAGAGAGAAAGGGACGGAGAGAACGACAGAGAGCAGACGGAAAAGAGGGAAGACGAAGAGCGAGATACAAGTGTACCGCCACTTACTAGCTGCATGTGTTTATCAAGAGCAGCGCATGATAGAATCAAACTCAGCTTCTATTCCACGGTGCCAACGACGACGACGTAGGCGACAACGGGTCGACGGCGATCGTTCACGGTACGAGCCGTCAGTAACTGTACTGAGTGCCTCTGACACTTACTCATGCAGTTTCGTTGCTTAGGTGGGGACCAAGTTGGGCCTCGCGACGGGGCACTGGGAGCACAAGGAGTGGGAACGTCGAGTCGTTGTTGAAGGAGTGGGGGGAACCGTGGGCCAGAACAGCGACTGTATCGAGACAGAGTGAGAGAGAAAGGAGGAGTAGCACGGAGAGGGGTCCAGCGTATGCTAACGAGCAAGACAACGAATACAGAGGCGAGCGAGAAAATAAAACTAGTGGAGGAGCCGCGAGTGAATGAGGGAGCGAGCGATAGAATAAGTCGTGTGGTGTGAGTAGGTAAATAAGCAGCCCGAGGAGAGGGGGCAGACGTACGAGTGAACAAGTGAACACGTTAGCGACCGACCGAGCGAGTGAAAGGGCCAGCTCCGGGAGCCTGCGTTGCCTGATGAATAAGCGAGAAAGATGGACCGCGAGGGGGAAGAACGGGGAATGGGTCTTGGAAGTCGTCTGGCACGTAAGCACTTGCCGAGGAGGACGTGGCGTCCTCTACCGAGCCAGGTAGAATCGACTATCCGGTTTCTTATTTAAATACCTGTTCTTTACCGTTCACCGGGCTTTCTCGTGTGCGTTCCTGGCGGGTGTGTGGGACCTCCCCTCCCCTTGCGCATTACCACCTCGTACCTGTTCTCCACCTGTGTGCACACCTGCCGAAAATTTCACCAACACCACGGTGTGATCTCCCACACCGTGTGTATATACCCACCTCCCGTGGATGTTCCAGGCGCGACTTGTCGGTGGCTGTTGGGGGCTGTGATTGGCCCTGTGAATGGAAAGCAACCTCGACAATAAGTTCGGCGACTCTCATGAATTTTCCAGCCGCGGCGGTCAGAATGTTTGCGGATTAGCGCGAAAGTACAAGCGTGTTGCGCAACTTTTGCCTTTTGTTTCCTTCTATTAGCTGGAAGCGTTGCAAACGACCGTGTAATTTACTTCTGCGGAAAAGCAGAACGCGTGTAATTCTTTTATAAATTCGTTTCGAGGATGGAGAGCAGCGCCTGCCGAGTGATACAACAAATGGTTGTAGTATAGAAAAGGAAGAATATGATTATCAATTTTTGTGTCGAAGTAGTAACTCTCCCATTTGAGTATATGAGCGTTGGCTGTGCAGGTATGAGTTTATTCTACGTATAGGCAAAGACTAGGGATGTGATTGATTTTGTGGAATACGTCATGTGAATTATTGAAATAGTTAGTAACACCCTGAACGTATTTGTTCGTACTTATTTCTTCAAGGCCAATCGTACTCGCCTGTAAAAATATTTCTATAATTCCTGATTTTCTGTCTAGAGGACCGAGCTGAAAGGTTAATTAAGATTGAAACTTGAATGAGTAGAGGTGAACTATGTCGAGGATGGTTAATATTTAGACGAGTTACCACTTGGGAACCCTGTCTCCTGTCGGCAACCCCACCGATGCCGGATCCAAGCTTGGATGTCTTGAGGGGGAGGATTCGAGAAACCTGCCATGGTTAAACTGCAACCTGTTTAGGGAATTTCAAGAATATTTTTAGGAGTGACACACCGTGGGACCTGAGAATGCGCATAAATGCCGAGAGACTGTCAACTATGCATCCGGTGTATACATAATAAAATATCACTCACAATTCTGATCACATGAAAAATAATTAAATTAATCAAGTCAGTGTTTCGTGTAATTAATTTATTTCAAAAACATTGCAGTTAGTTAGGCTTGTTAAGTGTCTCTAACGTAAATACTTTCTCCTGAATGAGTAGATATTTGGCAAACAATTATTTACTCTCATTAACTGTTTAAAGGCTCACGTTAATTCGGCATCCAACCACAGGATTTAATATCAACTGAAAAGTGATTCTATGCAGCGTATGTTGAACTCTCGAAGTCAATAGTATTACGACTTTCATGGTAACAGCGCCCAGTAACAGTTTCTAATCTTGTTTCCTTCCCACCGATACTGGTGTCTGCTAGTAATATGTAGGTCAAGTGATTTTGATTTACTTTGTTATTCCCGGTATCAGAATTTCTCCGTTGGTCCTCGAAAATGGTTTCCGGTCCACGTTTCCAGAGGACACTGCCCCCGGTTGAATTTAATCCCCGCGACAGCCTATTTTACCGGATAAGTAACAGTCACCGGATAGGAAAGGAATGTCTGGCTAATTTGCTCCGACCGCGGGGCCGTAAATGGACGCGTTGATAGATACGTGTATTCAAATGAGTAGAAATCGACCGTAGAACTGTCGCTTTTTAATAAGGAAGTATTCTCCGAGGGCAGCTGTGCTCGATGATATCGTGTCGCCAGCTCATCGAGAAATGTTCCTGTGCTTCCTATACTATCGGTAACTATCGACTGTCGATATTTGACCCTCGTTACGCGCCACTTCTTACCCCTGACTTACCCTTAACGCGCATCTCTAGGGCTCTTTTATATCGCCGTGGAGAAATTTATGGTGACTGTACCGTCGTATCATGGGGAATAAAAAGAAAAAGGAACCTTCCGTATTCGATACGTTTCCGAGAAAAGTTCAGATTTCCATTCGATATTCCGTTTCGTAGTAAATCACCGTTCTGTGCATTCCCGGAGTATTGGCATCGATCGGTTAATTCCACCACGCGGTGGGATGTTTCTTTTACTCCTTATTATTTGGCCTTATTTTCCACATACCTCACCCGGTAAACCAGTCGGTTAGTGTTCGCCTTTCCTTCCACACGACACGAAACCTGTATTCAGCATACCACCTTACCGCGGCATGCGATTGAATAAGTAACTTTATAAACAGTTGAAATAACATGCAACAACCGTGTCTAGGAAACCATAATAAACTCTTGGGAATTCTTGTTTCTACTGACTTTTTCTTTCTTTCTCCTATATTCTGTGCGCGCGCGCGCGCGCGCGTTCTTACGTGCAATATCGTCTGAACGTTTCACGGTTTAATGCGAGGAACGTGTTATTACATACGCCGGGAACGTGCAATTCGCGATTGCTGGGCCCGGAGTAAATGTTGTGGAAAAGTAGAAACGATTTTTATGTATTGGTATAAATTAAATGTCGAAGAACTGTATATGTGACGCTGTATCATAAGTAACTCGTATGTTGTTGATTCAGCTGAAACTTCTTTAAAAAAGACTTGACTTTCGAATATTCAATTTGTACCGAGGAAAATTATAATGGTTACTAATTACAATTAATGAGTATACTTTTTAAACAGTTAGACTTTATTTATGAAAATTCAGTACCTTATGAAATTACCACTGAGAGGCAGGATTGATTCATGAAATTAAAATCATCTTTTAGAGGTCAACTAGTGGTTATCCCCTCCGTGTAAATATTTCACTACTTACTGTTCAGCTGTTGACCTACCTTTCATCCTCGTAGAAGCCCCGCATTTGATGAACAGAGATACGAAATATAAAGATACATACAGCCTACCTTAATTTAATTTTTAACTAAGCATTTACGGATCAATGCTCATAGAACACCTTATATTTACGTATAACTGAACTGAGATTGTTTCTGCAAATACAGATCTCTATGGACTAAAATTCGCAAAATTTCTATCAAGTTCCAAATAAAAAGAAAGTCTTATTACATTTTCTCAAAGCATTAAATTTCTCAGGCTGCTCATAAACCAACATAATATCCAATTGCGAAACTACACCTTTTGGACGTCCAATAAAAACAGTAACGTCCAATACAATTTCCTACAGGCAACGTGTATGGATCTACGAATCCTGTTCCCACTCCATCAAACGAACAATCAAAAACCTACTGTCTCTGCAGTATGCAGAATAAGTCCTCACTTTTCACTTGTTAAACACCCCAGCTTTTTGCACGTTCTCAACCTGTTCTACAACCTCGATGAAATACGTTCAAGGCACTGACAGGTCGTACACAGCCATCGTCCATCTCGTTCGAGCGAGTATGAGGACAGGTGGGTACACAGGTAGTCCCTAACAAGCAGAAAATATATGTTTCAAGTGGTTAAGTTCTATATTGTGCTAGTCCTCGATGGAAGATAATGAAAAATGATTGTTGAAATCTGTGCCGTATCGGGGATCGTGTTGTGAACGAGGATCGATGTATTGACCTTGCAACGTGCGTGGGACGTGTTGGGAGTAGAACAGGTTCCGTTACACCTTTCAGCGTCCCAGCATTCCATCGAGCTCTCCTGTGTGTCTGGTCGTATGCCCGTTCCTCTTTTCCTCATCGTTTTTCCTTTTTCTTGTTTTCATTCGGTAGAGAGGTTATTTCACGCTGGCGACCTCCTCGCGTGATCGACGCTCGTCGATGACCCTGTGTATGTGTTTGTGGCGAAAACGGGGAAAAGAAACTCTGCATACCTCCGGGCGAGACTCAGTATCAGCGACACTTATATTTGATTGCCTCTTACATTTACAATTGGTAAACAGACGCCGAGTCCGGAGACCACCTGTCGAGATTCGATCGTCTTAACGGACGTGCAAGTGAAACGAGTTAGGATTTGGACGCGTTTCGACTCATAGACCCTCGACTGACCTGACAACACAGTTAGGGCCCGTACTTATAGAAGTTAATTTTCACTTCGATCATCGTGAACCACCGCGAATCGTTACATCGAAAATTGCGACGAACAGGAAATAGAAGTAACTAACAACGGTGTATTATTTACCCACTCAACGAATATCGTATTTGGAAACATCAACAAATCGGACGAGGAAATTTATTGCTTGTAGAACACTTAGAGCGCTTAGGAATCTTTCCTACCTGTCGACTAATGTGAGTCAGCAATTTTCAGAGACTACAAGCTTCAGGAAATACAATATTTCTGAAAGCTTTTTCGAAGCATAAGGCCTCAAATGATTAGTAAAAAAAAAAGGAATTATAAAATCTAGGTTCCAGGATCTGAAATGAAATTCATATTCGCGTTTCGTTGCCCGTTACAATGTTCTCCAGAAATTGTCTTCTTCGTGCTGAAAAAAGTAACGGTGTGTATAGTTCTGTATGGATTATTACAACCGTAAAAATCTTAACGTTCTCTTGGAGCCAGCATGGAGAGACTTGAAACAATATTGCTACGACGTGTATCGGTCATAGCGATCGCGGATCTACGCGGGTAGTTCCCTTTCCCTGGACAAGAACCAAACGTTCATGGGCTCCGTTTTGCCCTTCATGGTCACAGGTCAGACGGCCCCGATGATATTATACCCTATTTGCGAGCGAAAGAATGTAAATTTACGTACAGTGTCAGCCATAAGTTCCAAATGTTTACTCAACGGTTTATTCCCCTATAAATTTCCAAGCACTCAACGCACGATCCTTTGTAACCATTATGGCGATATAATTCGTGAAGCGTGTTGAACCATTTGATCAGAAATAAAATATCTTTACTGTGAATGGGTGGATACTGAACGATCTCGATGTAACATTTGTACAATCATAAAGATATATTAAAAAGAAGTAGTTTATATTCTGGTATCCTTGAAGTCACAGAGTACACGATGATATTTACGTGAATACGCCATTTCTTCTTTCGTAATAATTTTAAAAGGCAACGACAGGCTATTCTTGCCTTTTAATTTCATAATGTTCTATGGAATTCGGATGAAAAAAAACATTTCCCGAGTAAAAAAGCTTGGAAAAACAGAAGACATGTCCTTGAGGGTAGACTTCGACCCAAAAATAATAATTCCAATTGGTCTCATGAAATGCTACGCGACCCTAAACTTATTACACGATAAACTACACACTCGGAATCACCGTTGAGGTATTTACACGAGGCGTACAGTTGCTGCCAGTACGGGAACCGCAACCGCGAGAAATATCGCGTAATTTACAACCACGATCGCGTTATAAATTTCCTCGTACGCTGAAAATCGGTAATCGCCGGCAGTCGACGTATCCCGCCTAATTAGCCATGTTTATTCGCCTCACGACGGGGATGAAATATTTACACCACCACGGACATCGGTGAACCTCGTGTCCACGAGAGGGCTGACGAGCATAGGAAGCCGTTGAAATACTTATTTAACAGCTAATCGAATTAGCTCTCCTGCCGTCCCGTGTCAATTCCTCGTTGTCGGCGATCCATTCTCGGTTGAACTGGCTGCGAGGTTCGTTCGCACGAACAACGTGAAATTAGTGCATGTCGTTGATCGAGAATATTTCCATTTAATTCGAAAGAAAGATGGAGGTGCTGATAGACGGCTATTTCGACAAGCTGTTCAGCGAGATGGAGCGCAGTTGTCTCGCCTCGCGATACAAACGTCGCGAGCTGGTCGGCTATTTCTCGGACGTGATAAATAGCTGCGCTGCAGGTAACAGTTCTTGCTAAGTTTTCGATAGTTTTTTCTTTTTTGTTTGGTAATTACCGTGTCAGGAACAATTTAGCCGGAGTCTTCGAATCGTGGATCGTGGGATAGATAACGGGGTTTTCGGGAATCGACCGCTTCGAATCAGGCTTACCTGAGCGTTTCGACGAACCACCTGTGTAGATTTTCCGATCCAGTGATCACCAGGTTCGTCGATCGGATCCGCTAGAAATTCTATTGTGCGACCATGAAAGTGATTCGATCAGGGGTGGGAGGGATGGCGGAAGGAAAGCGATACCGTGTAATGTTAGACGCGGGAGAGAAACTTCTGCGACGTCTTGTCCCGTGTGATTTTGCTTTCTTTGAAAAATTATGCAAAACACCGGCTGGAGGACGCGATCGAAAGTATCGGCTGGTGAAAGAAACGTTGATCTGTGTCGTTGACCCGACGTATACCTTGTTGTATACACAATTTGCGAAAAGGCTTCCTATAATACAAACGGATTCGCTGACTGCTCAAGGTCACTGTCATCTAGCTTCGCACATTATCCCTTTTATATTCGCATAAACTTTCGGATAAGATCAAATTCTGTACAAAAAGCCTAAACTTCCAAAGAAACTGGCTTTCAATTATTAATCGAATACCACGCCCACGTTATTGTAGGAGATTTTATGGGACAGGCGGTGTGTGGAGACGTTTCTCCCAATCGCCTGGGTTTTTAGTAGCGACCGCTGGTTGGCGAGTTTTTCTCGCAAGCGATAATTAGAGCCTTTGGCTACTTACGGGGCTCCGCCGAGGAGCAACCCAGGCGTCTGTGGTAGGGGTCGTATACCGACAGCCCCATTGACGAATCTTGGTAGACGATTCCCGAGACAAGGGCTTATAAGCAATAAGCAAAGTCTTGTTTCTCCGCAGCCGAGAACCTGGACAAGCAGGACGTCTGCGAGAGGATAGTAATGTCCGCCCTCCGCTACCACAACATCGCCATGATGGAGAACGGTTACGTGTGCATGCTGGGTAAATTCCACAACGTTCTGTACGTGGCCGCGAAGCTCTGCTACGACTGGAACCTCGACAACAACGAGATCGTCTCGCGTCTCTTAAACGACATATTCTACTGCGAGAAGACGTTCGAGCGTATCCTGGTGGGCGCGATCTTCGGCATACGGGTGACACACTTCCTGTCCGGTTGGAAGAGCGACTTCGAGGACCGCGAGGAGAACATACAGGCATTGGTTTACTTCCTGCACCACGCGACAGTTGGTCGTCTCGAGTATCGTTGCGAGTCGTCGCCCATGAAGAGACGCTTCATCGACATCCCCATGGAGTCTTACGGACAGGCGTTGCCTCTACGAGTTGCCATTCAACATGGCGCCCCGGACATCCTACTCGTGATGCTTCGTTACGGCGCCTCTGTAGAGCCCGACAATCTAGCTCCCTCTCCCCTGGAAATGCTTTTGACCCGACTGAACGAGTACGACCTCCAACCAGGCCAAGAAGAGATCGTCTACCCGGAACCGTTGCTAGTCTGCCTGAGACTGATCCTGCGAACCATCACCACCGCGTTCATAAAGACGCCCAGTCACATCGCCGATCAGAGCGGGGTCTTCAGTATCTCGTTGTACGAACAGTACCCCGCCCTGATGGAACGGAAGCTTGTACCGCCTGAGAGGAGTGGCCTAAGTCCACCGGAGTTAAGACATCTCTGTCGATGTCGGATCAGGGAGACGCTGTTCGAGAACTGGGCCCTTCCTCACGGGATCAAGACTCTGCAGATCCCAGAGTCGCTCAAGAACTACCTGGATCTCCTATGCGACTGATGTTTACTGCATGCGGATTGTTATTGGTTCTGGTGTGGTCTTGCTAGGTGACATGACAATTTTCGATACTGTGTTGTATATCGGGCAGTTTTTATGTTCTGGGTGAAATGGATTGCATGTGTGTGCGTGTGTAATGTGGAATACGAGTTGTTTCTGTTTGTACGTGAATCTCTCCTACAGAAAATGTATAGATATTTTGTATTTGGATCTCGAGAGATGTCAAGTAAGATTTTGTAAAGAAGAATCGATTGTGGGAGACAATGCTTTGGAATCATTCTAGTCTGACGAAACGAAGATTGTACCTATATTTTTTGATGCGTTGTATAGGAAAGTCTCAAAGTAAAGTGCCTTGAAGATCGACTATTCCTTTTATTATAGAATCCTGTTTTCATGATTTTGTCGGTAGTTTTGAGGTAAGTACTCGTCCACCGATAAAAGTAAATATCTTTGTACGTAACATTTCAGAACTATATACGTAGTTCACTCGTTTCCGAGAACACTCTGAAAGTTCATCGAAGACGTAATCGAAATTGTCGTCGTTCGACGAATCTCATCGTACTATTCAATGGGATCAAGTTTCGAAGTTCGACGCGCCAAATACGTGCACCCGCCGTAAGTATCGCCCAAAGTGCCTCAAAGCCAGCCGGTAACTTTTCAATGAAGTTCCTCCCTCGTCGATGTTTCGAGTGTCTCCTAAACCGACGAACATCCAGATCGAACGAGAGCTGGACATCAACGGGACAGCCATACGAATTTCGATGGTGTCGTATCAAATTTTCCGGTTTATATTTGAAATCCTGTCTCCGATTTTACGATACCGCGAAACGTCTTCGAAGATTTCATTCGAACAGCCTCGTACATGTTATTCAATCCGAGAGGATTTTACTTCAGTCGATAGAAAAATTCTAACAAGGAAAACGGTCGCGATGGACAGTGAAATTCGACCTAATAGTACCATCGAAGTGATATTTTTATTGAAATTGTCTCTTCGCACGTAAGTTCGAGGATCATCGAAGTAACCTTTTCAGTCGAATCCAGTGAATCAAAGATAATCTTCGTCGGCTCGAGGGAAAGTCAGGTTCAATAGGTTCACGATAATTGCAAGTTGCAATGGTCTAAGTTTAATGAGTCTTGGGAAACAGAGAAACTTTGTCTGCACTAGAAATGTACAACACGAGTATACCCATGCTTTATGTCCGCAATCTATTCCATTTTTATACAAGACACGTATGACAGGTGAATATTGAAAAAAGTTCGTACTTCATCGAATATACGCTACTTAAATGCTGGTTATATTGTCGAAAATATTCCAAGTCGTATTATTCATTATTCATCGCGTCATTTCGCTGTTGTTATGAAATATTGCGGCCAGGTTAATCGAAACGAGCTGACGAGAATAGATTGCTGCGTCCAAGCGTATAAATCTTCAGGGACACTTGACGCGAAAGTAATAAATTTGATTTTCAATATTTTATCCGATTCTCCGTAGACGTATAATGAATACGGCGGGTCCTCCCCGGTCGGTCTGTCAATCAGGACCAATCGGCCCCTAGATCGTTCGCAACGATTGTAAAATACTCGGGAGATCGGCCGACAAGCGTTGTAATTGCATCGGTGTAAATGCCGTTTTGCATTAAATTTTACCCCCCGTGGCATGCTCGGACGAATTTCCCAAAGGGATGTCAACTCGCGGTCCCGGACTGGATTTTCCTGTGTTCGTCGCAGTTAATTAAATTACCGCCACCCTAAACAATTCATTGCCACGGTCATGACAGCGGACCAGATTACCGACTGTTCACTGCCAATTTGAGGTGAGTTTCATACCTTTGGGGAAACCTTGAAAATGCACTTTAGCTGAAGAATATAAACGAGGTGAATTAACAGTATAACGACTGACGACGCCACAGTGGCGTCATGTGAGTCTCAATTGGTACTTTTCAGACATTCAAGGTTAATGATTTTCTTTAGATTCGCAGCAAAAATTCTATTTCTATCTACTAGTTGTTACAGTGTTAATATTCTGACCGAAAAGATATATACTCAAATAGAATAGTATTCACAGCACATTCTAGTTCAAAGTGTGTTTCCATCTTCAAAAACTCCTCTCATAAATCTCAGATTCTGATTTCCAAGTTACAGAAATTTTTACACCCGACCTGCTTGTATTTCCCGCTACAGAACCCTCCGATTATCGATCATTGCGTATATTGAAACTTGTTCGACCGTTAATCGTATACAATTCAGACGTTTGCCAGAATGAACACCCTACCGAACAATTGGCTGTGACTCAGAAATAATGTCGAACGGGTGATACGTCCGTACGAGCCTACCGCTTATAGCGTTTAAATATCGAGTCTGAAAGTGGGGCCAATAAAGAAACACTGTGTCCCTTTAAACGACCCATTTGCAGTTCCGAAACGGAGGATGATCAGTTTCACCGTTCACTTTTGTCCGGACTGAATATTCCGAAAAACACGAACGAATAAGAACGATAACGATCGTGCGAGAAATAATAATAATTTAGTTACCTGTACGCATCCTCCGAAACGTTTATTTTTCCGGGCTCGCCGGTGGTCTCGGTTCGGCTGGTGAGATTCACCGTGTTCCCAAACAGGCAGTAACGAGGCATACGGTGGCCAATTACTCCAGTTACGACCTCTCCGCTATGGATCCCAATGGTGATTTTCTGTCGAAAGAGTTCGACGCACAGCTATCAGCCGGATCTCCTTATGAAACGTAGGTAGGTACTCTGTGCGCGCAGTCGTGTCACGTATCGCGCGTTAACGTTACCCGCGGCGGAAGCTTTCGCGCAAGGGACAGGAAGAGTGCATTCAGGAAGATGAACAAGACTCTCTTTTTACGGATAATCGAATGCGCGCGCGTTCCTCGAAACGCGATGGAAAAGTCACGCTGCAAAACGTTCGGGCTCGTTGAATTATTTAATCGTTATTTCATTTATCCAACTAAGTACGACTACTGCGGCGCGTGAAAAAGGGGAAAGCGAGACGAGTCTTAGATACTTGAAGGGATTCCTGAAGTACTCGTTCATAGAATTAATTATTGAGGGGCTGGTTAAAGAGATAGAGGATCGTCGAGACAATAGATGAAGTTTCTATGTGAAAGGAAAAATTGTGGATCCTAGAGCCAGAATGTATTAACCCTTTGCCTTACAACATCGAGTCAGACACGTGATAACGATTTCAAACTGAATTTAGTGAACATGAATATTATTCGTTTCCTTTGAGTCGACGTGAAATACTGTTTCGCTGGTATTAACTTTTCGTCGTTTAGTTTTTAACATAGTAGTGTTAATATGATATGAAGTTCGTGTCTTGTATAGGGGACTTAAAGCAATGGTCACTATTTCTGTATGTATATCGAGACTTGTCTTAAATTCATTCGATAGTTCGACGATAGTGATTGTTTCTCGTTGAATTCTTACCGAACGGTTCCAAAGTTATAAGATCTTTCTGATATTCTCCCCTCTATAGTTTGAAAAGTGTGACTCAATACACTCTGGATCTAGAGTCCAGAATTGTATCTCGAAGAAATGAAAAGATATTTCGATGACATCGCGTAAAAAATTATAAAGGTTCGGTTCCAAAAATATTTAAATTGTACATCGACTAGGTGATAAAACTTTAAACGAATACAAGGGATCATATCAGAAGTTTTAACAATGACACCTTGAAAATCTGACCGAGAATCAATTTTTGGTCGGGAAAAGAATGTAAAGTAAAACGTGTAGAGAGACTTACCACTGGCTCGCCATCGATCTGCACTTCGTCCGCAGCAAGATCCATCATATCCAGCGCCAGCCGAGCGATACACCGTGCATGGCAACGACATGGTTCCGGTAATCCGCTCACGGCCATGTATTTGTCACCAACAGTTTCGACCTAGTCCGACCAAAGTGGATCAGTGCTAACAAGCCTTCCCTCGTATATTCAAATACATATATCCGTTGCCCGATGTATAATGAATACTGTGTGTCTTAATTCAACCTTCTAATATCGTTCTCCAGCAAGTACGATCAATACCGACCGCGTCCATCAAAAGGACATGACCCAACACTATTTTCGTTACAGGTAATCGGTCCGGTAGTCACTCAAATAACTATTCTATAAATATTGCTAAATGATCTTAAAGTTAAGTTCGTGTGATAAAAACTCATTCGACAACAGTGACCCAGTCTATTTCGAAACTATACAATTTCGAAGGTAACTCCAGGTAGACATACATATATACACACGAACTTCTTGTCGCCGTCTCGAAGTACCGTGGCGATCGATCACCATGTCCAATAAAAGAAACTCTTAACAGTTCTAAAAAGTTTCCGTTTCCTCCATCGCTATTTAAAGAACGTCTGTCACCAGCAACAACAGCTCGCGTTTACTCTTTCCGCTGGTGCATTAATGCACTCTAAAGGATCCACGTATACGGACGAGAAACTTCATTCGTTCCAGTCGCGAAAGCGGATTTTAAAAATACCTCGACAAGATCGTGAATACATTCCGGGATTAACACGTTCGCGGAAACGGAACCACCGTCTGGTAGGTATTCCTTACCTTGTACACGTTCGGGTTCTTCTTCGGGTCGGTCAACACGTCGAACGCGGTGTACAGTTGATTGAGCATGTTGACGATCTTCATTGCGCCGCTGGAGTCCGTGTGAGCGGCGCAGTAGGCCCCGAAACCGACGATACCAGAGAACAACAGGGTCACGCAGTCGTACTTCTTCGCTGGGACCGGCCTGGAATGCCGTAGCTCGTTCGCCACGGATATCGGCAGCACCGAGTACAGCAACCTGCGGCACAACCGGAACTTTTAATGGAACTCCTTTTAATCACCTGCTCAGCCTGGCTAACTCCGTTTACCCACTGCTCCTCGAATCATGGTCGAGACGGAATTGCTTTAACCAAAAGATGAAATTGATCCCCCCCGGTTTCTCGCGTTTTCTTATTTATTAAGGCGGAGTTTTCTAATTTATTTGATAGTCTGCGAGTTTCTAATGCTTGAATGCCATGTTTTCTTTTTTTTTTTGGGACACGGTGTATGTCTCTAGGTGGAGGTCCAGGTGAGACACCCTGTATTTACTATCCTCCCAACCCTAACGTCTTCGCGGAGAACGTCGAAACAGACGAAGCTTAAAGACGGCGTCGTACCTCGGATGGGAAGGAAAAAAAAAGAAAGAAATTCCAGGCCCGCACAAGGAAAACTCGATCTTCCCCCTGACCCAACCCCAACCCCCTCTTCCTTGGATAGAATTGCGTCAGGATAAACGGCAAACGAGGCCAATGGGGATTTCCTTAATCAGAAAATTACGCGGACGGAAATCCTTACCTGTCCGTTTTCTGCTTCTCGCCGTCGAGCTCGCGATACGTCTGCTGCAACTTATCGGTAAGCAATTCCAAGTTCCTCGTTAATTTGTAATCAGCCTCGAATTGCTCCGACATCAGCACGAGATCTCTGGTGGCGTCGAGTCTGGATGATCGATGGCGTGGAAAAAGGGCAAAAAAAGAAAAGATAGATCTCCTGATGTCAAGACGTTTCGAGAGAAACGAAATCGAGAATAAATTTTCTGGGAAAGTTGGACGAATCGTCAAATGTATGGTTTACGTTCAAATGAATACAGAAATTTGTTATAACTCTGCGTTTCATCGTCGATCTATAAAATTGATGAAATGTATTTGTTCAGTAATGTTTTTGATATCATTTAAATTTTTCGAAACCTTTCAAAATCCATTCGCAATTATCGACTCTCGTCTATTCTGTTCGATAGAGTTAAAAGCTGTTAAAACACTTCAACCGACAAACAATACTTCGCTTGCGTTGAACATCATTTCTAAAAATACATTAATATTTTCATCGATAGCGTCATCGTGTGTTGATCGTTAGCATTTTCAAATCGACTGTTCAATCATCCTCGATGCGTAATCCCGGCGTCCCGTTTCGAGAAACAGAAGAGACCCAACCGGCGATTCAATAAACCGGCGTAATAATTCTCGTTTCTGTTGCTCGAAATTCATGAAAATGGAAAATGAAGCATACGAGCGAACGAACAGCGGGTTGGGGGAGATGGGGAACGCGAAAAATATCGGTTCCGTAGGGCGGGGAAAATTTATTTCTGAGCGTTGAATCGTATTTTTCCGACGCCTTTGCTACTACGAAGTAATCCAGCTGCACGTAACTCTCGCGTTGACGCGTCTAATCCAATGCTCGGAGGATATCACAGGTCCTTGTTCGTATCACAAAAGAAAGTTATCGCAGTAAACAGCCGGCGTAATGGGAGCCAACTCAATTAAGCTTTAAATTTATCCGCTAACTACGTCGACGCTTCTGCTCGAATAAATCCTCGCGCAACTGTAACTACAATGGGAATTATCTGAGCGTTAACCGTAGAACACGGGGCATCGACAGCTGCGAGGAAGGCTTGTCGCCTAATGTGTCGATCATTCGATATCGAATTTCATCGGTGTTACGCGTGTTGCGCGAAGAAATCCAATTTTGATAGTTTCCAATTTTTGTATGTATTCGTCAAAGTTGCACAATGCAGATGTATCACTGAAGGATGAACTTTGACGATTCTCAAAAAGTGGGACTTTTAAGGAATTACAAGAACCCGTCTTAACCTTTAGAAACGATGCTGTTGCCGGGAAAACGATAGATCGTGACTGGCCCAGTTTAGACTCGTATATAGTAGAACGACTAATTGTAAGTACAGCTGACAGTTGAAGGAGGAGCTTGTAGAACAGGGCGTAAAAGTGAAAATGATCGTCAGAGAACTTTCGACTGTCGACTGCACCAACTGCGGAACCGGAGTTTCGTAAATACAGAGAGAAATGTGTATTAATGGGCAGACAGAGAGAGACAGAGAGAAACAGAAAAAGATGGCGAACGATGAGACTTCCATTCTCTTACCTTTCTCCCTTTTTCTGATACGAAGGTAAGTTACTTTCTTACGCCAATTGATATTTCGAACGTTGAAGATCATTGTCTTCGATAATAATAATGTAGTATCGTAATTTTAGGTAAACTCCGAGTTAGTTTATGACAGCACAGTTTTAAGGATAAGAGGGTTACACAAAAAGCAAGCGATAGAGTCGAATGCAAAGTCCATAGAGTAGTCGTTTGCTGCCAATTACTAATCCCACAACAAATATACATAAGAAGCGGTTTTCTAAATGTAAATTAGTAATTACTTTGCTATTCTCAGTTTTCTAACAGTGAATGTAAATTGTTCGTATCATCATCGTCGCAAAATCTGGATCAAAATAGACCCAGGTGTGGTCGTTCGAGGGTCCAAAGGATCACGAGGCTGCGTGCTCGCTGCGTAACAGCGTTAAAATGTATGACACGCGACGACCTGGGGGACGTTTAATGCATCCAAAGAACGAAATGAAGAAAAACGAGGCGCGCTGGGTGCTGTAGCGAGTATTGCGAGAAGAACAAACAAGGGTGAAGTTTATAGGAACGAGGCCAATTCGGCGGAGTCGTGACAAGAATTTATGCGCGGCGCGCATAGCAGTACGAGACAGAAGAATGGCGGTAATTATACGAACCATCGCTTCGGCTGCTATCGAACGGCTATCTAGCCCGTTATTTCAACGGCGACAAATATTTTCCGCGACGGGGAACAGTGTATATACATATATACGTACGTACGTCACGATGAATTAATACGCGGTGCCTACTTAGTAACCGCGAGCCACGCTGCACCTCTATTCGCGATAACGGGCTGGGTAGAGCGCCGCCCATAAGTCTGCTGTCGCTGCGATACATATATGTATACATATACCATACACTGGAAAGAGAAATGATATTCCAACAGTGCATTGTTGTAATTGTACATTCGATATACACAGTATAAAATAATAGTGTAAATTATAGTGTAAAATTAGATTTTTAGAGAAAAATGAATTCGAAGTTTGGGCTCTTCACTTAATATCACTCGGCCAAATTGTCTGTTCATTGCTTACTGTTTCTACTTATTGTAACCACGAATGAGATTCGAATAAATCCATCCACTCGATCGTCCCGAACATAGAGCATTCTTTGAATAAATTTTATTCCACATTCTTTACCGACTCTTGCACAAGGAATTACTCCGTTTATTGATTGTTACGAGGATCAATGGAATATATCGTATAATCAAGCATTTCGTAATGAGAACTGCAAACGGCACGAGACAGAGATTTAGCCGCGGAAATCCGATATGTCACTGCCGTCTCGTATATCCTAGTTAAAAACGGAAGCAATACCTTCGATCATTTATAATGCAAATTGACGATCCGTACGCGCAACACACACAGTGTTTCGCGTTTTGTAAGTGGAAACTCACCGAGTTGCATTCTTCCCGTTGGCCATTTGTTCGCGCTGATTTACGGTGCCCCTGTCGACGATTTTACAGGTTTCAGAACGTTCAACGGGGGAAACGAGGGTGATCGACGCGCGCGTGCTCACAAGTCTGACCGAATCGAACAATCCACACGCGTTACAAAACGCGCTGTGGATGAAATCCAATTTAGCGACAACCCTACAATTACGAAGCGGATTAACGCATCCGTGCAAATAGCGAAATTAAATCCAGTTATATTAAAACACAAACGACGGAGAAATTTTACAGATTACGTATCGGTCAAGAGGATTTAGGAGTATGAACAGTGTATTGGCATTCGAAGGATCTTTAAACAGAAGCGAATTGAATCGAAAAGCGAAGGATTAGTAAAGTGGAACGCTAGTAATTGATAGAGATTTAGTAAAATTATATTAGTATTATGAGTATATTGATACGAATTTCCTGAACAGAGGAAAGAGTCTTCCATTAAACTAATGTTGCGGCGAATATCGTTATTTAAAAATGATGAGACTGATATATATGTTGGATTTTATTATTTTTAAGTCCAAATATATATTTTTTTTCTATTTTTTATTTTTATTTATTTATTTTATGAAGAAATATTTAAATTTCTCAACTGAAAATGCTGAGGTCTATTCATATCAGTGAAACTACGGATTCTTGCTGACAAAAGTTAGATATTGACTCGCGACAGAGTTTGATATACTTGTGAAATGAATGTTGCAGGGGTGCAACACTGGGAGTTAAAGATTTAAATTCATGAAATTACAGTCTTCATTATCTAACAAATGAAGGTATACGTTTTGAAAAATGCGAATTCCGTACATACTTTTAAAAGTGAAAAGAGAATTCTGAAGTAATAAATAGTATTAGAACGAATGTTTTATATGGAACATCAACTGTTTTCTTCCATCGGTTTTTACAGGAGATGTTTCACGATATGAACGAAGGTATAAGAATTCCACGTAAAAGCTCACCTGGTTAGGTCATCCAAATTCATCACGCTGGGATAGCAAAGAAAAACGACAAAGTCCGACTCCGGTATGTACAACATTTGTCCCTGGAAACGTAACAAACGTCGCCGTGACAACGGAACACGCTTTATCCATGGACGTTCCTACGAATTGCTTGGTGAAATATTCATCCGTATCGGAATTTGTACTAACTTTCAAGCGTAGATACGAGTACTCCTCGGACGCGTTCACCCGCATCACTCCTTTCTTCGTTCGAAGCACGTATACGGTGTTTATGTGGGACAGTATGTTCTCGAATGTCAGCTCCAAGTGTGGTCTGATCTGTGGAAACAAGGTAAATTGCATTTTTTTTTAAATGTAGATACACGTACACGTATTACCTTCAGGTATACATATATTCACCTAGAATTTACCATTAAATTCGCAGGTGTTCACTGTCATTTGATTATTCTTTATTTTTTGCATACACGATTGTATGAACGCTCATTACAGTAGAAAGTATAACCCTTCGGAGGTCACGGTTGATCTGACACACACGCAAAAGACGAGTTTGAAAATAATGAAAGTGTAGATGAAAAGGATATTATTGAATTGCGTTCTGAAGGTACAAGCTATTTCCAGCGACGAGATCGAAGATGAATACGAAGATGTTGAGTATTTTTTGTTTTTGAAAACATAAAACTTAGAAAAGGAAATCTCTCGTATACACCACAACCGTCCATGGAACATTAGGATTACGACCAGAGCATTAATAATGCTTAGTGACATCTGTATTTTAATTGTAAAGTAATGTAACTCTTAATAGGGTAAATAAATCTCTGTTTCACACCAGTTTCCCCATATCAACCCATCAAACCTTATACATACGGACAGAATCAATCCATTTTCTTGAATTTGTTCTTCAAATCTTTTGAAGAACAAATTCTTGCCAACTTCTGAAGCACGTAACGTTTCAGAGTTTGCCGAATTCACCGTCGCGGATGCATGAAAACGTCTACACCACGAACAAAGGAGGATTTACCAGTGAGTTGTCGCGATAACTGTCCTAGGCGAGCGACAGATTGCGAAATAACGATTCGTACACTATGGACTTCTCAAGATCTCGACAGGGGATTCAGCTGTGACGAGGGGAATAATAATGGGCGGATAATTGATTACACCCGCGGACGTATGCACCAGCGGCTATGCAAATGAAGTTAAATGATTCTGTTCCAGCGGCGCGTGTCATATCGTTTGAAACAAACCGCATTTGAAAGATATATGATCAGTGGCGTATGAATCCGCGTGAATTATACCTCGCCAGTGGCCACCGACGTGCCGGACAATAACGTAATTTCGTGGTCCACGGGAACTAATGGCGGCGTTTCGCAAAATAAAACGCGGTTATTGATCCGTCATCTCTTGTTATGCCCACGGATATATGTGTGATTTCAGCTACTTTTTATGGTAGACCCGTGTTACGCCTCTTTAACGTTAAATTTTATGGAAAAATCTTGATCCCACGTGGATTCGTTAGATTGTATATAAGGCCCCGAAGGACTTAGGGAATTAGTATTTTCTGAAATACATCTACGCATCTCTGTGATTGACAAAGAAGAACTGGATGGCGATTAATTTCAGAGGGATTGAATCTTTTATTGACCGACAGAGAGAAGGATGCAGGAATAGTGTGCAGTTCGATTAAAATCTATCATTCTGTAAAGGCCACTAACAATAGGAAATTTCAATCATCAAACATAAGATTTCAACCACCAGTCTCATAGGTGCATACTTCTATATTATGTTTTAAATTTTAGCGTATTTAATTCTTTTTAACTAGATTCATAGAATTTTCAATCCGTATGTCTAGAATCAACTGACGATCGTATACGTACGTTAGAAATACTCACGGTAAGAGCATCAAATATCCAAGAAGCAGTAATTGTGTACGACATAAAAGTTATGCATAACAGTTAGAGAAGTTAAATCGGTGGTGACTTACCGGCAGAAGGATGTCGTTCAGCTTGCAGTTACCGGTGCACACTTGGGGAATAACGCGAGTTATGGTGCATCCAGTTTGAACTATGTAGAGGTCTCTGTTGAACATCAGATGGAATGGGAAAACTCGGCAGAACGTCATGGGGCTGACTTTCGGTTCTGCGAGAAAATCCGAAAGAAACTTCCCATGAAGGTATTCGACCAAGTCTAAACTCATAATCGATGTTACGTGCGAAAATTGTTCTTCGAATCCAGCTTTTTGCAATAAACGACGACTCTATTGAATCATCTATGGAGGCGAATAATTCTGTGTTTTCCTTTTTATGAAAAACTCGTGCGTTTACTCACCCACGGACAGTGTCTCCAATTCGGCGATCATAGGATTCGAAACTACACCCGGGCCGGAGGTGTTCGTTATCAGAAATTGCACGTGATCGCACTCATTTTTCGTCTTCAATATACGCATCTCTATGTCCGTTCCGTGGAGCTTCTTTGCCACGGTCTACGCCGCCAACAAAAAGATTATTGTGACTCGTTTAATCGGCACGTTGCTTTCACGTCCGAACGAATTTCGTTGCGATCAAAATGAAATACTGATGCCGATCGATTTCATGCGCGTTATACGCGGAACCAACAATAGCTGTTTCATACGACGTAAAAATTCATATTGTGTTAACGTTGTGCCAATGTCCTCGGCGTAAATCGTCCAATTTTTCGACGATTGAATCGTTCATTCTGATCATCGAAGCATACCGCTATTTTCCAGTATTGTCAGATATTGGTGATTACATTGATATTCGAGTACACACGGTTAAATTCAATAACTTCGAGCATGCATTGTGAACTATAATTTTGAGTTAATTGATAAAGAAAAATTTCTAGAAAAATTCTAGACGGTTTTTTTTATTTTTTGCGAATAAACAAGAAATCTATGAACAGAAAGTCAGAAATTAATTTGTACACTTAATAATTCCGTAACCCATAAATCTATCGGGGATCCACGGAAGTACAACATCTATCATTCGACACAAGCTTTCAAAATTTTGATAACTATCCCGTGTTATGGGTCTCCTAAAATACCTTAACGATGCCAATGACGATGTGCTCCAAACCAGGTCGATCGGAGTAATAATGCAATATGAGCGCCCCATCCTCCGGTCTCTCGGTGCATCGGAAAGAGGGCGCCCTCATTCCCGGGTACAAAGTGCCTAAATGATCGTGAAGGGCGTCCAAATTCTGCAATTAAGCGTGTCACCGGACTCAGCGTCAGTTTGCTGTGGCTCATTAAAGATTATGGGGATATTAATTTCCATCTAGACGACCAGCGAAATCGCGTTTTCCATGATCGGATTTTATGTTTCCGAACCATTCCCCTTTGAAAATGCACATAATTCCAACTATACAATATCTGTCGGCTATGGCATCAATTCGACGAGCTATTAATTCCAATTATCGGCAGATCGATATACTGGCCACGAAACGTCAACGACAGCAGCGTGACGGTTTCTTTTTCCTTTTTTTTAACTTAACTCGACGAGTACCGACACGAGACGTGAACATGCAACTTGCTCGTGATACCAGACCACGGGGAGAAGCGGAAATGAAACCTCGAGGAGGAAAAACGCCACGATAATGATCTCGTTCCGCGATGGCATTCCATTTGCTAATCGCGTTCCGCGCATTCATCGCGAACTAAAGTTTCTTGCTACTACGTGGTTGTAAGTTTGTGCGATTTCATTCGTCGGTTAAGATTGAGTGTTGGATTCATGAAAGTTTGTTTCTTCTGTTCTGGGTGGTTCTTTTGGTAATAGTCGCTGACGTGAATCTTTAGTAGTTTAATTGGAGCTTTTTGAATCTGACTCTTTCATTGATTGTTCCCAGCTGTTTAATCTATCCAAAGTATTATTGATACTAGAAAAATAATTTTTTAGTGTATGTTTTGAAACGGTGAGTTATGAGTAGACTGCGGGTGTTAACCACAATACATAAAGATTGAAAATTTCAAGCTGGTTTTATAGTTACATCACGCAGTGTAGTGAATCATCCATTGGTAGAGCTATAACAATTTTTTCAAAATTCATGAATATGAGGACCATAGAACTCCACTTTCAATTTTTTTCCAAATAATATTAAAATCTCATTCGAAAGTGCAGTACTATAAACAAAAAAGTGTCTTCCAACCAGAGAAATCCGATTTAAATTTCTCGCCTAAGGAACATTTCGACAAATCCAAGGACTGTTCATTGGCCCCGCCGAAAGAACTATGATATATTTCATCAGTTCACGAAAGAAAAACCTCCCGAACAGATGTAATAATTTCTCGATTACCCGCGGACGGGAAAATTTCTGGCAATAATTCCGCGCCCGTATTCCGTCCGCGTAAACGAGTTTACGCGGTTTTTGTCCAATTACTCAGCGGCTACGTTGCCGCAATCGTGCGCACAGGACCGGTCGGTCGTGTTCTCCCGTGAACGGGTCTCGTGTGTGTCTCTTTCGAGTTTAGAAATGCATCAGGACGCGGGGAATGCGCGAATGAAAATTCCTACGGGTTACACGCAGGTGCACGGGTGTGTCCCTCTCCTTCAGCCAATGTCGAATAGCCCAGAAATCACTCGATGGAAGGGGAAACAGGAGAACGAAAAAGAATTCGCCTGGCCTCGAGCAATTCCGCCGGGAGCGTCGGTCAAATCGCGAACGATCTGCCTACGTGTCATCTTTCGCCGGGGGAAACTTTCACTTCGAACCCGCGCGGAATGGAAACGGAATCGAAGATGGAATCCCGGAGTCGGTCACCGGGCGCCCGGGGAAATCTTATCTCCTCGGCCGTTCCGCGAAAGTGAACGGTCGAACATGACCGTGTGTGTAACGATCTTCTACTACCTGCAAGAAGTCCCTGGGCGTTGCGCCGAGCACCTGCAGGATTTTGTCGTAGCCGGAATCCTGGCAGAACTCGAAGAACATCCGGCCGAACAGCTCCAGAATCTCGTTGGCCGGGATGTCTGGAACGAAACACGGGTTTCTCTTTCAGGCTGCGACTTTATTTTTGCGGAGTTTCGATTTGAATTTCGATGGATCGATTCGCGGTGGTTGAGCCGATCGAGTACGGTGGACTAGGATTCTAACGAGTATTGAATGATGATATTTGAGGATCAACAGGATATGATGAGGACATAATAATCATTTGCTGCAACATCATAAGTAAAAATTTGCAATTTTTTAGTCATTTGTGTAGAAAGAAAGGACTGTTTTCTGTACTTTTCACCGGTTGAATTTTGTAATTAAATTTTCAAAACCCCAGGACAATCACTTTTATATGATGTACGTAGAAAACTACAGCGACCAGAATATTCAAACTCTGTATGTATTAACTCTTTAAGTGACCCGCGTGGAATTGAAAGAAAGTGGTCCAAAGAATGCCCACCTTTTTCTATTGTTAAATGGTCTGATAAGTTATTCTAGGATAAGTAACATTGAAATAAGAGGCAAATAATAGCTTTGTATTCGCTTATACATCACTTTTTGGCAGGAAGCAGTTACCGACAGATCGTTCAGGGCTTGAAAGTACAAGTTTTACGTGACATTAAAATATGATACCAATTTTGGCTGAAACATGCAAATGAACGAAAAAAAGGATCGAGAAGAGAGAGAATCGCGTTTCGTTCTGGAGCTGCTATAGCGATCCTGCTAAAAGGATTTTTTCTCCGCTGAGGTCACCGCTTTTCTGACTGAAGACAGTAAAAAGAGGTGGAAAGAATGGAGAGAAGGTTAAAGGAAACAGGGTCTTGTACCGGCTAGAGGCTCTAGAAGATTCGTGCCTCAGACGCTTCCTTCGTCGCTGAGGTCACCGGTTCGGTGGGCAAAAAGAGCTGGAGGAAAGCATGGAAGAGGTAAAAGGTAGGAACATCGAGACAGAGAATCTCGTTTCGTTCGTGGTCAGCTATAGATCAGGCCAGAATCAATTGGACTCCAAGAGTCAATTCCCTGGCTGTGAATCTTGTTAGACGAAATTGCTACTTTTACATCGCTTTTACCTTTTTGTCCGATGAACAGAGAACCCATGTCCGCGGACCTTACGTTCTCTTTTTCGAAAACCATCGGAGAGGTCGAACAAACGAGGAACAAATGAAGAAATTATAGACTGGTAGAGGATGTTTATAGATTGGCGTCGAAAATGGAATTTTACGGTGCCGCGATTATAGTATGGAAAAAATAGAGATTGCCTCTGAATAAGTATCTTCGTGAAATTCGATGTACAAATATATTGCTTAACCCTACACAATCTAGTAGTGTCCGACGGACACATTTTCATATTGATTTGTATACATAATCAGAAGTACTTCGTTGTTAAGGATTAACTTGAATCTAAAATTGAGAAAAAAAGTCAGACTCACTGAGTTTGTTGACAGCAGCCGATATAATGTTGTACGTAATCTCGTCATCGTAGATCTGGCGCACCAGAAACTGGCCATCCATATTAACTGCTGCATCTTTCCTGGATTAACAAAATATGAATAAACATGTGGGTTCAAATTAAAGAAATCCCAAGGAACGCATGCGTGTATAATCACTAGCTTGTTTTGGAATTATGCATTATTCTGTAATTCTGGCACAGACAGACAGTTGAAGAAAAGAATTACAAAGAAACATTTTCAAAAGTTACATAATATTTGCGTATGCAGATAGGAAAATCCACTCACCGAAAGGAATACCAAGCAGGTTGGCGAAGGTATAAATTATACTCGGCAAAAAATTACGCAAGTGCCTTCTCCTGATTGTCAGTGAAATGAAATATGGCTACGAAAGTGACAACGTACAGTGTCTGACAGTGATTCCTGTTGAAAGGAAACGCAACTGCTTTCTTTTTTAACTTTAGCGATACTTTATGCCGCAACTTTATAATATAAAATACTGTTGATCACGTGATTAGCATAATACTATGACTGAATGAAAGAACCTCGAGGCTACGCTGTCCAATAAAAATCACTGTCGTACACTCTACACTCGTGAAGATTGAATTTATTCAACTTTCAAAAGCCATCTTACACTATTATGTTAATAGCAAGTTCGCCTTTCTCACTTTCTATTGACAGCACGAAAAATGCCGACAGGAAGAGGAAGCACGATTATACAATTAGCGAAAGGATTGGTAATCTCGGAAGACGAGCGTTTCGATTTAGAGGATAGTGTCACAGCGAATTAATTGTCGGTCTGACAACTAACGAAGTTAGTGGAGCAAAAGCCGTGTACTTTAACGGGTCGCCCAGACTGCCTCTTGGCAGTTTCTATTAGGTTTACAAAGTAAGGATAAAAGGGCGTCTCGCCGTTTGACATGGATATGAGCTGTCGCCCTGAGCTCGAGTCAGCATTCTCATGCAATTTTTCGAGGACCCCTGTACTGGGAATAAAATTCAGCTTAAATGGCTCGTGGAAATGGCACCAACATTCGTTTCTGGAAAATTGATGTAGCATTTCCATATGAACGTTTTTGAAGCTCTTACATATCTGTCCGAATTTATCTTTCTAACGGCTTTATCGTATACGTGAGAATAAAAATAACGATATTCGGCTATTAACTTATTTTTAGATTAAAGGAGATTGCGATTGAAACAGACAAATATCTCCGTGCGAGAAGATGAACGATTCTAAGAAGGATATTACAACATGTATTCGATAACATATTTCGATACCAGTAGACAAGTCGGTGTCATTTATACGTACACATATATATGTATAGACTAAAATGGGACACAGTGCCTATCAAAAGCTTCGTCACGGTCCCTGTGTGCTCTCGGAAACGAACGAATAGGATGTCTGAAATTATATCACGCAATTTGTAAACACGAAGCAGAGAGGCACGCCGTGAAACGCCATTTAGCACGGCTAAAGTGACCCTTTTCACACGAGCTTTTAAGAGTCATCGTCGAATCTTACTCCCCCAGGTTAACCCCGATTCTCGCTGCGACCCCCGCTTTTATCCCGCACACGAATTTCCCACAATTCCGTGAAACATTATCATTGTGTGCAGATGAAAAAGTTGTCTGAACAATAAAAATTAATTTGGGTTACAGGGGGTTAATTCCCTAATTACCCATATGAAGGCACATCGAACCACAAAAAGGTCAACAGAATTACAAAACTCAGAGTCCATTAAAGTCTCCAAACGACAGGAGCTACTTTCTTGTCAGCTGAACTTTCAAAGCCCAGTTCTTGAATTTTTGAACGTTTCACGGGCAACATTTCTGGATAATTTCGCTTTTCTAACAACGAACAACACACCGTTCACGGTGCATAAACACGCGTTACGAGTCAGCTGTCCCTTTTCTACCCTTCTTTCCTTATAGATTCCGGTGTTTTTGAAGAGTTTCACAGCTTCCAGCGAAACTGCGCCCCGGAGTTTTCCATGGAGAAACGAACGAGCGTGGGATTTCGTTGCTGCTCGCGGCGTAAAAAAGTTTCTCCTGGATCGCTCTTTTTTTACGTTCCACGGCTATGACTCGGGGAAGTTTCAGCCGAGCATTGTGAGCCCATTCCGACGGAAGCCATTGTGACCCCGCGAAGAAACGAAACGCGTGACACGATTCCCTTTTGCTGCCACGGAAAGACAGTTCGATTGGCAAACAATGAAAGATTCATGCAGGCGATTGTACGGTCCTTGGATTTAAGGGTTGGAAACGTCGGGCCCCTGGCCAGTGAGCAAACAGAGCAAGGAACGCGTGCCAATATGTTGCCGTGTCACCGAATCAATAGACTCCGAAGATCAGGTAAACAGAGGTTTATTACCGCGAACTTGTTGATCCGTCGATGGAGACAACAAGGGAGCACACTGTCACCGGAATTTTGTTTGTTTATGGTTTATTTGTGGTATATAAAAATTATCGAGTCTAAAAGGGACATTAAGGAAATATGAGTGCCGTGAATTTGCCAACGTATCTGAAGAAGAATGGTACAGTAAAAAGTATGGTAATCGTAGGTGAGAAGGGGGCGTTTATTTCGTCAGAAACTGTTGAGAATGACAGTGACATAAGTAAACGTTTCCTTGGTCTGAGAACACAGTTTTTAAAGAGTTATATCCAATGTACAGAACAGAGACACGAAGGTAATTCAGCGTTCTAACTTTTTTTGCTTGCATCACTTTCATTCCCAGGGGCTCAATTACTCTTCTGTCAGAGTGTTATACTTAATACAGTGTATCAATGGCCAATGCAGATTCTCATTATTCGATTGGAAATGCTTGTCGGGTAAACAAAAAATTTGTGTACCTTGTTTGAAATTATTTCCGCTTATTTATCTTTACATCAAGGGATTTAAATGGGCTTCAAACACCTTCCGCCTCGTTGCAATCTCAAAGGGAGCTCGATTATTCATCTTCCATGGTAAACGTCCAGTGAATGTTAAACAAGCTTGATATAAAACACACGGAGATGATTAAAAACCATGAGCTTGTTACGCCGCAAGTGTAATTTCTCTCTTCAAAGCCTCATTTAAACGAGTAAATAAATTAGAGATATGAAAAGATATTAGGTGAATAAAAATTATTGGATCTCAAAAGCAATGTACACAAATATGAAAGCAGAATTATATAAATGTTAAGTGAGTCGAAACTAAAGTGAATGCAGATGTTCGAGCCTGAATTGAATAAAATTTTAACCTGAAATTGCTAAAATGGAAGTGCATAAAGATCCATCACCTCGGTAGCGTCACAAAGCTTCAACGCGTAGTGCTTTCAACGAGGAAACAAACTGAGCGGCTCATAAGGCACCGTGGAGTAAGTTTCATGAAATATTCAGCAAGATAGTACACGCGGTGTAAGCATAGTTTATAAATCATTCGATAAAGTCCTTGACCAATTTTCATTCATCAAACGAAATATTCGAGCACAGTAATAGCCACACAAGCAGACATAATCGTGTTTATACAGAACCGCTTTTAAAGTAACCGCTTCTAAGTACTGCCTGAACAAGACTAATAAAAAATTTCAGACCATTTACACTATTTACCGTTTACAAGATAAAACATACTTTGTAACTTCTGTTCCTCATCAACCAAACGAAATGCACAGAAATTCAAATATTCATTAATATATTCTCCACGAAAAATTTCGCATTCACTTTCTGTCGAAACAAAGTAATTCCAAATTTTCCGTATAACACCATTACAATACAATACAAAAGAGTACAATCTACAAAGAATTCTACGTTAAAATTTTTCATGCAATTTCCCTCGAATTTCAATTCACGAGTCTAATTATCGCAGCTCTCCCGGTGCACGTTTACTTTCCAAATCATCGAACAGTTTACGCAAGCACAATATTTACGAACCTCCTCGAATCAAAATTTCAATCATTCGCCCGGCCCCCCGATTGGCCGAGGAAATTCAATATAAATTCCGCGATCGCGCCCCGGTCGAGCTTGAAGAAATGTGGCGGGGGCCCAAGGTGAGCGAAATTTCAATTAAAGAATGCTAAGGATTCGGGTCACGGAGACGCGTGCTGCACGGTTGCATGGAGCTAGAGTAAAATAAAGCTGGATGATCAAACATGTGGACACGCCACGTGGCCTGGAACCAAAAGCCTCGCGATCCCACTTCGAATTCCTTCGTTTACGCGACGGAAGAAGCGTTATCGTATTCGCGGAATCGAACGGAAGAAGGTGGTGCGCAATTCACACAGCTGGCGTATACAATAGGAGGAGCAACGACGATGTTCTCGTGTGAGAAACGTGCGCGACAAAACAAAAGGCACAGACACACACAGCAGGGTAGGAGGACAGGAACAAAAAGAGCTGAGAGAATGAGTCGGCGTGTCGTGGAATCGCGCGCGCGGGCGCGCGCCCACGTTTTGTACCTACTTTATCGCCTCCCATGTCTCGCTGTCAAAGGTCTTCACAACCAGCAGCTCGAGGGCGTAATTCACAAAACCGTACTGCACATAAGGAGACAAAATATCAGATATATTTCCCGCAGCTAGACATGCCAAACCGTCGCGGCGATGTTCTCAGAATTGTCATTCGAGCGTCATGGTTACGAAATTTTGTTTAAACCGGGCATGTTCGTCACACTGGTGGATCATATACCAATCCCTACAGCGTACTGTCAATCGGTACTACCTGTCCCAGCTGTATCTCGCACGTCAGTCTCAGTCCAGTTTCTCCGTTCGCGCGGACACGACGCGACGGTCCTCCACGTACATACGATCCTCCTCCATCCACCGATCTTTCCGTCGTCCGTTCGTTAATTCAACGTACCATGGTGATCAATGGGAAGCCGACGACCGGGAGAAGAATCCTTCCCCGCGTATCATTCCATTCTAATTGCCATAGGAACCGTGTTTACCTCGTGCACACCGAGCCGCGTACTGGAAAGTCGGCCTGCCTTCCGTCAGAGACGATAAGTATCGATTTTACTGCTCGCAGCTGCGCCACCTAGACACAACCCTCTGTGTTATACTCGTGTCTTCGAGGACCGAGCGCTCCGAACCGAACGCCGCCCTACCAACACCCTTTTCCCGCGGCTGTTGCCCAATCCGCTTTTACTGGCCCCATTCACGACGTGTCGATTCGACAGTGTTATTATTCAAACGGATGAATACTTATAAAGACCGTTTTAATGACTAACCAATGACCGGCACACTATCCCCACTCTCTTTCGAACTCTCGTGGATCGTGCGCATGCGCGCTTCCACGGCGTGTCGCTCCCGTAACCAGAAAGCTACCCCTGTCGAGTCGATCGTTGTGTTTTTTTCTTTCTCGATTCGATCGTCTTCTAGATCTTGCCTCCCCGCCGACAAAGAGTCTTTCTTCTACGCGTGCGGACGTTTCATTTAGATGCTCGACCGAGCTTTGTTGGCCTCAAACATCGAATAAAGGAGATGCTATCGCGTCGAAGTGTTTGGGGGATTTTATCTGAAGCTTTCGACCTTCGAAATAGCGTTTCGTATTTACGGCGGACCACCGGAAGCAGATCGGCTGCCGGAAACGGAAGGTTCTCTACGTTTTGGGGGCAAAATCAACGGCGCTACGCTGACGAACCCGGTTGTGATTAATTCTGTATTAACGTTCGGCGAAACAGGAGCTCAAGAATATATCATGCGAAGCATTATCCACGTCGTGAAATCTCGACTTCCGAGGGGGAAAGACGCGCGACGGGGAAGGCAAGCTCCGGCTTAAATTGTAATTAGAAACGAAGGCAGGAATTCGTAGCGCTTCAGCCGCCTTCCATAGGACTGGGCCTACTTTCGCGACGCGCATTGTCGTCGTTGGGGCGAAATTGAAACGAAGAGAACCGGAAATTAGCGGAGCACCCTCGCGGCACACCGGTGCTACGGCTTCATTAGTCGTATTACGGTAGTGTCGGGGGCGGGAATCTTTGTCTTTTGAATGTAGAGTTGTGTACTTCAACCAGAGTAACCTTACTTTTTAGAATCTGAGTCGCAGGTTTGATTGAAATGTACAATTGGTAAAGAATGTTTGCCTTTCGATGTTCGCAGTGTATGCATTGCTCTTACGTGTAATTGGAAGATAGTTTTTCGAAATCACGTTTACCCGGATTCGACCAGAACATATTTTCAGGTCAGGGTACCTCGTTGCTCCAAGTTTTGTCACGGTCATCTTCTTCTTTCCTGACAATAAACATTCAACAGTTACAATTAAAATACATTTACCGTCGGTGTTCAATGAATCCGAAAATCAGTACTGTAACTTAAGGCTGTATTATTATGCTTCTGGGGATTATACAGGGTGTCGTGTCAGTGGTGGTAGAACTAGGTAGGGGGTGATTCTACGTGAAAAAATAAGTCGAAAATATAGAATAAAATTTGTTCAGTTGTTCGTTTCAGATAAATAGAGAAAATTAATTCTAGACGCACGTATTTGTCATATGGTAGTAAGTAGAAACGGAATTCAGTAAGCAGACACGGTAGCCAAGTCCTGTTCGGTTGCACGCGTATTCAACAGAAGTCTCAAATGAAACAATTTTATTGCACATTTTCGACTTATTATTTCACGTAGAGTTATCCCCTAGCAGATTGTATCCACCAGTCACATGACACCTATAACTTTATTTAACGTCCTTGCCCCTGTAAAAACCGCTCCCGAATTATAGCGACGATGAATGTCGCGAAAATATCACGCTGTAAATCCACTTCGTAGTTACGTTGTCGTACGCAACGTACAAAAATTTATTGCCGGTCCACGCGCACCACCGTTACCTGTTCAACGTATCGAACAAACAGATTCATCGGCATCTAAATCTCTTGTTCTGTCTGAAATGCAGGTGGTCATGATTACACGAATGAAATTACCATCGACATAAATTACAAGCTGCTGCTGCTACTCGAGCCCGTCGCCAACAAATTAATTACAACGCGAAAAGAGGAACGTTGCATTTCCGTGTTTTCTAGATACCTTTCCGTCGCAAAGTACTCTTAATTAATTCACCGTCGAGACTTTGATCAATTTTCATCAAAACATATTCCGCCCCAACCTCTTCATCGTTCCGACCGAATAACAGTCTCGAATTCTCTTTCAAAGACGCCAGAGGATTTCTGGCTACGCTCGTTTCGCGAGCGCGTGGAATCATTAGCAGTGCGGATAAAAATTTAACGTATGGCCATTCGCGTCCACGATGCTTCGTGGAACGTTTTTCTCGAGTTCCTTTCGAGACTGGTCGGGTACTTTGAAAATTTCAGCGACGTCCAGGACGTCCCCAGTGAACGTAAATATTTGAAATCACGAGATCCCGGCCGAACTTGGGAGGGAACTTGATGTCGGTTCTCGGCCGTCGACTGTTTAAGGCTGACCTCTTTTCCTCGCTAGCGCGGAAATGCTTGTGGAACAAGCGTCGGCGGTGCGCCATCGAGAGTAGAAATCGGGCGCCGGTTTTCGGTTGCGTTCTTCGTCCACAGAAATAGTAAGAGAAACTTTTACGGGTATGGTTCTTCTCTAATCCCGCCCGAAATATTCTTGTTGTCCCCGGGATTACTCGGTCCCGATCCAGCGTCGCCTCGTTACCCCTATTACCGAGTGGCGACATTGCGTGACGTCGACACACTTTTCCGTACGCTGGTGCAGCCCGCCGCACATGTTTACCCTCGCAGCTGTCGCGAGTAAGTTCAAAGACGGATTCGCTATATCGGGGCCGCAATATCGAGTATATAGGGCACCCGAGGGAATTGCACAGACCTCGTGTCCCCATTATGAAAGGCCAAAAGGGCACGATAACGCGCCTCCGCGATCTTGTGTACGTGGGTTCCTGAGGAAATCGAGGGAACGAGTTGGGGAGGGAACACGTAATCGACGATCCACCGAGACCATCTACGTTTCTGTGGGTTTCCCATCGTGTGTTCCGCGAGGCACTACGTGAAATAGAATTCTGGGTCCGCCGTGGATGAACCGTGTCGATGGAACGAACGTAAAAATATTTGGGAAACGCGGTCCATTCGAGGATATGCCGTGTAATATACACACGGATAGAACAAAATATTTCTTTCGTAATTTTTCAATAATTTCGGAATGAAAGGGTTAAGAGCTCATTTGAGTGGTATTCGAAAGGGTCATATTGCATTTGTTCCACCTGATACCCAAAAACTGTAGATTCTTTCGATCATCCAACAGCAACCGAATTACTACATTACCATTTCTGTACACAAATACATTGCGTTAAATTCTACTCAAAAGTTCCGTTCATATCATAATTTCACAAAGCCAAGAAATACGACAATTTTACGTTTCGTTCGATGATCGTTAAGCCGGCACTTGCGTCCCCAAGTGCTAAACGAAGTGTACCCACGAATATTCTAGGGACACTAAAACCGAGCAAGTTTCTAGACATGGCCGTATCACGATTAGCCCAACGACCACCCAAGTTTTTCCACGAGCCCCACTGTACACACAGGAAGAGATAGCCGAGAGTGGTGTTTCTCTCTCGTGGAAACGAGCTATATCTCGGCTCGTGCCTATCGCGTTCTCTTCCCGCGCGTGGCAGGGTAGGAGAGAAGAGAATGTTATCCGGCAGTCGCGGCGAACTACGGGAATCGATGCAGCGACGAGATTTATGAGCCCAACCCGCTAGCCGGGTTATGAGCTAAGATACAGTTTCATCGGGCCGCCTGGTGTTTGCCCCTGGAAGGCCAGTGGTGTGGGGGTCGGGTACATAATGGGTGTTATATAATTGCCCGAACATTTACGAGCAGCAGTTTTACGAGCCTCGTCCCACTTTGGCGAACGAAGCAATCGTATCGGCTGTCAAACGAGACGCATGACCGGCGATCCGACCGTCGGGATTAAATGGTGGTGCGCCGTGATTCCTCGGTAAATAAAAAGAATTTTCCTCGGAAGAATTACAATTTCATCAAAAGAGGCACAAAAAGGGCACAAAAAGAGCTTCCGCGGATCACTAATGTACCGTGATATGGGTTAACAATGACACACTGGGTCATGAGGGTTGCGGATTTCATTGCCAGCAAAAAGTTCCTGGGGCGGAGCCTCTGACGTGTCTTCATATCGTCGAACGAGCTCGGGTTGAAGTTTGATGAGCGTGAAACCGTCCTCTTATGGTCTGGCACCCGGGGTCGTGATATCCTGAAGCGTTAATCTCAGTGTGATAATGCTTAGGGTGCTGCCGTTAATCACAGCCTTGTGAAATCGTCGATTTCTACGGAACGCGTTGTCTCCGGTAACCGCGGTGAATCGATCTTATGAAATGGCGAGCTGTCATGCATTCGTGGAATTTTGGTAATCTTTAGTGGTACATTCATCGCGTAATCATGTACTTAGAGGGCAAAAAAACTACTGCAGGGTTTCCATATGAAATTTAATTGGACGAGATATCGGTAAACACTGATCCAAATGGCAATAATAAGAAATAGGTAACTGGAACGGTCTACTTAACTAGCCTGCTTAATATGCACGATTGAAAATCGAAATTACGATCTAAACATCTCTGATATTCTATCACTTCTGCACTCTTCAAATAAATATTTTCATGTCTCGTTAGGGCTAACAAAATGTGATTTTCCGTGACGGGTTCTTGAAATGGATCTAAGATCGTTTCTATCATCGTTGCTTTCTAAGGTGTTTCCAAAGCGCTTCCGAATGCTTCTCCTAACATCCAAATAAATCGACCGAATTTTCAGGTAAGTGCCGTTTGGACGTTCGTCCGTCGAATACCTCGAGGTATATGGGGAAATCAGCTCGTGTCGAAGCGTCTTGGGATCGCCGTTCGAGCGGAACACGTCGTGGGAATTGTTTAGCACAGCGAGCTGGGTACATACGTGTTCGATACCGATTCGTGCACGTC